ATACCACTAAAGACGAACCATGCCCAGTAGCCGATGATAGCCAGACCGAGTATCAGTTTGATGAGTCGTCCAATATCAGAGCTCTTATAGCTCGCAAAACCTCGTTCTGAAGCCACGCCCCCCATACACATCAAAAGGACGATCCAACATTCCACGGCATAGAGCTCCTGGTTGTTAACCGTAATATAAATCAGTCCTACAGACAAGCCGATTAGTGAATTTGCGATATTAAGCTATTTTGGTGCATTTACCAACGAAATTGGCAAGAGTAAAGCCAAAGTTGACGCCACGCATGTTCACGGCTTCTTCTGGCACAAAGTTGTATGCAAGACTCGAGGTGATCCATTGGAGGTACATCCCAATGCGGATTCCTTTGCCATACATGTTGCTATCTCCTACGAATCCACAGACGGCTTCGTAATCTGATAGATTTGAGGGTATACCGAGGCGTACCAACGGAGGCGCCGCGATCGTATCCTGGGCGGCAACCGTCCGGAACGCCACCAAAAGAATGGTGACAGCAAGGAAGAGTTGTATCCTCTTCAACATTGTTTTTTGGATGGTTTAGAGATGCGCCCGTAAGGACTGGTCCCCCTCGTGGCAGTGCTGGATATGGTCAGGAACAAAGAGGCGACCAACGATAAGCGACATACCCTACCGTACGGCAGAGTAGTCCCAAAATTATCCACTCTATATAGTGATAATGTGAAACGAACCACAAATAGGAGGTCAGAACCCGAATACTTGAACGTTATAACAGCACGACCCTGGACCAGAACAACGGAACGACCTGTCATTCTCCTTTTGGACGCAGACCAGCACATTCATCCCGTCTCATTTCCATGTTCAAAAGGGTAATGGTTCCATATGTATATCTTGATGCCACAACTGAAATCTGTACACTCGCACAACGGTCTCCCATTTACATCAGGTTCATATGAATGTACAAATAGCTAATTGATCTCGAAAAACGTGCTAGGGTCAACGTAGCGCCGCCCTTTTCTCTAGTACAATAAAACGAGACCGATCAAAAACCGTCTTACCTGGACCAAAATTGACTAGTATCAGTACATATATTTGGCGGCGCCGCTTACGGCTAGGCTGAAGCAGCCTCTTCCCCTAATAGGCCACGACGGGTAGCTGTTAACTCTTCCCCATAAGTCCCATACTCACATTCAGTCCCATCTCCCAGCATGACACGGTGTATGTCAATCTATAGAAATATTCAAATTCATATGGGGCCCTCTCACTTATCATCGATTAGCGCTGCGTTCCCCCCTTATAAAGATTCTAGAAGCAGTTTTATTTGATAGGTATATCTTGTAGACTACCATTCCGCAGCAGAGAGCCTTCATTTATCGACCCGAGAACAGGACATATCAGGATTCTCTACCCATTTATCGGGAAGATGGCGCCGCACCAGGAAACGGAGTCTACAGTCTGGCAACTGTATCACCGGAGGGCTAAGATTCGAGACAAATCCCTCTTAGACCACTGGAAGTCAAGTATAAACCATGACACTGTAATCTTTGTAAGTGGAAATCTGATAATATATGAGAAGCTTGACCATGTATTGTCCCTTAGAGTGGACTTTTCGCCTCAGTTGTCACCGCCTTTTGCGTCGAAAGTAGGAAAATGTTGCAAGAAGATCCCCTGGATTCGATTCAAGTTGCAGTTTGGTATATCGCTGCAAGGCAGGCCAACTCGAGCCTACCATTTACTCCTCCCAGGCAGTTTAAACAGCATAAGTGGGTGATTTTCGTGAACGGACTATTGTTCACAAGCTTGACATGTAGCTTAATTGCTGCTCTTATGGGTTTGACATGCCTCCATTGGGTGAAAGAGTACGAACATGGGGCTAATAACAAACTTCCATTTCAAGGAGAAAAAAGCAGAGCGTTGCATAGGCACTACCAATACCAAGGAGTAAAGAAGTGGCTCATGGACGAAATGATTGCTACGGCACCAAACCTTCTATATATGGCGGCAATATGCCTCTTTACGGGACTAGCCATTTGGCTTTGGCACCTCAACTGGCGCGTTGCTCTCGTATTGTTGATAGGTATGTTGGCTGTCGCGACCTGGTACATTATTACGACCTTATTCGCCATATTGTCCCCTTCCGCCCCATTCAAAACTCCCATATCAAAGTTCTCCCTCGTATTCAGTTTTGTTGAGCTCGTGAAGGATTCCCTCGAAATCACTTCGGGATTCTTGAGAAATTTCAATGGAACCCGCCAACCAAGCTAGGCATGATAGGCGAATAGCATCATTTAGATGCACCTGTTCAGCCTCTCGTATATGTGCATCCATATACTGTGCCGGGTCCTTTCCTCTAGTAGCCCATGGGTACCGTTTAACAATTTTGTCGTGCAAACGCTGCATGTTTTCTCTCTGATGGCTTGCAAATCGCCGCTGCAGAGATCGAAATGTCTTCTGTCTCGCGAAGAAAGGGAAGGCTATAAACCCAGTAATGTATAATCGAATGCTGTAGAAGATCTTCAAAGCATATAGATGCAAAAGGCAAATAGTGTGGTAGGAGAACTTTGATATGGGAGTTTTGAATGGGGCGGAAGGGGACAATATGGCGAATAAGGT